TCTTTTTGTTCCCAACCAGTCACTCCAAGTAGTTGTACAATAATTTGAGAAACCTTTTTTTTTTTTTTACAATTATTTACAGCTTGAATGTGTTGAACGAACAAACGAAATTATTTTGAATATGAAAGATTTGATGTTTGACAAAGGCGGCGTACACGTGGCCAAAGAAGTCGGAGATTCTGATTTACAACCAATAAATATATCGGAACCTATATTAGAAAATGGAAAGCAATGGCTTATAATCACTTTGAATGAAGAACTAGAGGTGAAAGAGAAAATACAAGTAAAAATCAAGTATTACAAAGTTCATGATACTTCACAAGATCCTGACGTCGCTTTTTTCAAATACAGATACGCCAGAAAGGCTGTTGATAAGTATAAGTTAGTTTACTGGCAACGTTCAATCTAGATTAGTTAAATCAAACCAGTTCTGAATGAGAAATCAAATTATTTTTCAGGTGGATTGCAGTATCTACGTCTGGGGCGGATAATGGCAGAAAATTATATCCTTGTATCGATGAGCCAGGTGTAAAAACAGAATTTCAAGTGAGGGTCTTATGCGAAGATGAATTTAAATGTGTGAGCAATGCCTGGACAATGAATGATCAGAAAAAGTAAGCCCATTTTCAGAATATTGATATGCCTATGTAATATACGTATTAATGAACAGAGAATTGAGAAAAATAGACACACAGACTTTTCATTTTTATCAAAAGTATATGTATTTGTGATGCGCCATGAGAAACCAGCCTTTAGAGTGAAGGAGATCAAAAATGAGTTTTGACAGATTCTAATAGAAAAATATACTAGGAATTTTTAATACCGTAATCTGAAAAGCACAAAGAGGAGAAATACACAGTTGCTATAACGAGGCTCTTTTCACTCACACCACTCCACTTTGAAACACTCATCGGAGACTGAAAAATGATGGAACGAGCCTGCAGGGGGGTACCTAAAATGTATTTTGGACACTGCAGAACATATTCACATCACATTGAGAGCCCATGAGCTTGTTTCGAGAAAACATAATGAGTCCGCACAACTGTCACAAATGGGGAGGAGGAGGGTGAATGGCGAAACACAGAACTGGAAAATGTAGATAGGGAATAGTGTGAACAAGAGGTCTGCAGAAGGTATCCGGACTCACCCAAAGTGTAGGTGAAAGAAAATGTAGAAACAGAGAGATATAATGCATACGAACACAAAATTCATGCAATATTTGGGTGAGCGGATGAGTTTGCGTATCCGTTGCAGACCTCTGCCGTAAACCAGGCTTGTGTGTCGTTCTGTTGAGTCAATGCATGAAGTCTACATGACTGTGCCAACTCAGTTACTCGTACTTGATGTTCATACTCATTTTCATCAGTTTTACACATCACTCAGTTGAAATACTGTGAAAAGTCCATCAAGTGAATTAATGTGATCAATTTCTTATACAGTCGAAATCAAGCTGAGAATTCTGAGATTGATTCACAGCCACATTATAATACGCCTCCTTTATCAACATTCTCCATTGGTCTTGTGGTTGGAGACTTGAAACCACAGCAACACACTGATGATTTATCAGGGACAGAA